AAATTAAAAAAAAAAAAAAAGTACCAGATTAATTACTATTTGTCCTTTATAGCAGTGAGCTGTAGTGATTTATAAATGTCTCATCTGGGCAGGGCCTTCATCAGCATTCTGAGCTTCCCCAGAATAATCTTAGGAGCAGGTAATACCTTTATTTTAACAAGTATCCTTTAAAATTACTCCAGATATAAGAATGAGCCTAATGTTTAACAGGTTTCTCTGAATGGCAGTGGACTGTAGAAAGGTTCCTTGGTATGACTGTGCTTTGACCTTAATTTACCTCATACTGAGATTATGATTGCATAGCAGAAGATCAATAGAATAAGAGTGAATGCCCCCAAAATATCTGCATGTTTGCTAGTATATTATTTTTATTATCTTTATGTCTTAAATTTTTTCTCTAATACCCCCACAAATCTATATAAAAACTACATAATATGACTCCCATGGTTTATTAAAAGTGTTTGCCTATTATATGCCATTAAAAATTAAAACCTGAATAGACAATTGATTTAAACTGTCTGTGGTTGTAGTTATATGTTTTCTGAGGGGCATAATTTGGGGCTAATTTCTATAAAGAAAGGGAAGGAATATATACAGTGTCAGAAATTTATATCACATTGTGGCCTGGCTGGTGTGGCTCAGCGGTTGAGCATAGACCCAAGAACCAGGAGGTCACTGTTCAATTCCCGGTCAGGGTACATGCCTAGCTTGGAGGCTCGATCCCCATTAGAGGGTGTGTGGGAGGCAGCCGATAGATGATTCTCTCTCATCATTGATCTTTATCTCTCTCTCTCCCTCTCCCTTCCTCTCTCTGACATCAAAATATATGTTTAAAAATAAATAAATCACATTGTGCATGAGCTGAATATTTAAGAGAAAAATGTGTACACAAGAAAATAACTTTAAGTCATTTTTATGGTTATCTGCAAATTAATCACTGAGATTGCTTTTACTAATAGTATATACTCATTAAATTGTGTTCTGGGCATGCTTTTAAAATTTAAAATCTCATAAAATGATCATTTATGGTTGCACAAATATACTAACCCCTGGCCCTCACCCCCCTTAAAATCTTTATTTAGCTGATTTCTACATTTTACTTCAAATTAGTGACTTGGAAAAACCACTGCTTAATATGTATCTTTTTTAAAAGTATATATCTTTATTGATTTCAGAGAGGGGAAGGGAGAGGGAGAGAGAGATAGGAACATCAATGATGAGAGTTGTCATCCATCGGCTGCCTCCTGCACGCCCCCGACTAGGAATCAGCCCATAACCCAGGCATGTGCCCTGACCGGGAATCCAACCGCGATCGCCTGGATCCTAGGTCGATGCTCAACCACTGAGCCATGCCCTGCCAGGCAATATGTATCTTTTTAAATCCTGTAGCTAACCCTTAATATTGTAAAATAGATATTCAATTCACTACTGACCAAATTCTAGTGATAAATATTAGTTTTCTCAGAAGTAGTACAGCAAAAGACCTATATGGAGTGTGCTAAATCTCTGAAAAATAATCAAGGATAAGAAATTCCTCTTCCCTTTCTTCTCTCTGGAATGTCCAAAGATGCCAATGTTCTTCTCTACTAGGTTGCTATATTCAGCTGAACTGACCTTGAAGACTAGCTTTTATTACATTTCATTTTGAAATGGGATGTGCAGAGTTTCAAAAGTCTCAAAATGTAGAGAAAGAACATAGTAGGCCATTGAAAAGATTTTTTAAAATATACTGAAAGTCATAATTCATTTAATTATTATACAAAGATAAGTTATTTTTCAATGATAATATTGAGCATGAGTAGAAAATCAGTTTCTAGGGCCTCTAAAATCAAGTATTAATGCTGGTATTTTATTTAAAAAACAATACAGGGCTTGTAGCTTTATTTATAGAACTAAGATAAAACTTACACAGAGTAAAACTTATTCTTTGGATCCTTATGATGATAGAATTATTCTGCATTTTGACAGCATCATTGTCAATAAGGTAGTTGTGATATTGTAATATAGTTTTTGTAAGATGTTGCCGTGGGTGAAACTGGGTGAAGGTAAACAGAATCTCTGTAGTATTTCATATAAATTCAGTAAATTTACAGTAGTCGCAAAACATAGAGTTTAAGAAAAAGTACTCTTTCATGTATAGTTTTGCATGCTTTGACAAATGAATACAGTCTTAAAACCACCACCACCATCAAGATTTAAAAAGTTCTATCACTCCCCCCTAAAATATTCCCATTATAATTTGATCCTCTCTTTACCCATAGATAATCACCAGTCTGCTTTCTGGCCCGATGCTTTTCCCTTTTCCACAATGTAATATAGGCTTCAGTATATACAGTCTTTTGAGTTTGGCTTCATTTAGTTAGTACATTTGAGATTTATCCATATCGTTGCATGTATCAATAACTTTTTTAAAATTTCGGAGCAGTGTTCTGTTTTATAATGATACCATGGTTTGTTTATCTAATCGCCTATTAAGGGGCATTTGTTTATTTCCTGTTTAATTCGGCGGTGAGGAATAAAGCTACCATAAATATTCATGTACAGGTTTTATGTGAACATAAACATGTATTTCATTTGAGTAAATACCAAAGAAGTAGGATTGCTTGGCCATGTGGTCAGTGTAAGTTTCACTTAATGAGAAACCTCCAAAATTTTTTCCAATGTGGCTGTACCATTTTGCGTACCCACTAGCAATGTATGAGAGCTCCAGTTGCTCTGTGTCCATGCCATTATTGTTACTACCAACATTTCTTATTTTAGCTCTACTAATGGGCATGTAGTAGTATCTCATTGTGTTTTTAACTTGCATTTCCCTTATTAACTAATGATATTGAGCATCTTTTCATGTATTTATTTCTTTGTAGAAGTGTCTGTTCATATCTTTCTCCCATTTAAAAAAAATTGTATTGTTTGTTTTCTTATTATTGAATTTTTTAGTGTTTTTTAACATACTCTGAAATACAAGTCTTTTATCAGATATGTAATTTGCAAGTGTTTTCTCCCAATGAATAGCTTCTTTGTCACTTTCTGAATGGTGTCTTTTGAAAAGCAGTTTTTGATTTTGATAAAGTCCAGTTTTCAACATTTTTCTTTTATAAATTATACTTTTGATGTTGTATCTAAGAAATTCTTGCTGAATCCAAGATCATAAATATTTTCTTATATTACTTTGGAAATTTTACAATTTTAAGTTTTACATTTCACATTTAGTTATATAATTCACTTTGAGTTAATGTTTATTTATAGTATGAGGATGTATTTTATTTTTTTAATCAATATCCTGTTGTTCTGACACCATTTGTTGAAAAGGCTGATTTTTCTTCATGAAATTGCTTTTAGGCCTTTGTGAGAAATCAATTTACAATATATAGCAAGTTCTGTTATAATGAAACACGTGATCTTAAAAATCATTACACTATGCATTATTGCATAATAACATCATAAGACTTAAGGCAAAAATGGTGTTAGGGATTTAGCAGTAATCTGTATAACCAGTGACATATTCGAGAAAGATAGGAAACTAATAAAAATGATAGCATTGTTTTACATGGTCTAAATTATTAAGATTATATAAATATTACAATAAATATGGTACCTTACCTTGAAAATCCTTAAATTTGCTTGTAGAATTAGTGTAAGAAAGGTTGTAAATTATTGTGAAGTCATGGTAGATTATCTGGAATTGGGAGGAAAGTGTAGTACTACAGGTGGACAGAAGTGGCTCATAACACACATGACGAGCTGAAATAGTTGGTAAGTGTGTGAGGTGTGTGTATGTATTTCTACTTTGCTTGAATCAGCTAGGTGCAGTTACCTAGTGTTTTATCTAGTACTTCTTGCAGACAAAATTGCATATGAAATTTGAGATTCAAATTCGTGTTATCCTCAAATTGTTTCCTAATGTATCAATTCCATTGGATAAAATTTGCATTTTTAAAACAAACATTATAGCACTGTATATGTCAGTCTATTCTTGGACACTGTCCTGTTCATTTATTTATATGTATATGTTTAGATTTTCTTTAATACCACACAGTTTTGATTATTGTAGGCTTATAATAAGTATTGAAGTCAGGTAGTGTAAGTCCTTCAATTTTTATCTTCTTTTTCAAAGTTGTTTTGGCTATTCTATTGCCTTTGTCTTTTACTATAAATTTTAAATTCAGCTTGTTGATTTCTATAAAAGAAATCTTGGTGGAAATTTTATTGAAGTTTAATTGAATCTTTAGATCAATTTTGGGGTGAACTGACATCTTTAACAACACCAATTCTTCCAAACCATACATATATCTCTCCATTTACTAGATCTACTTTGATTTCTTTCATCACTATTTCTAGTTATCAGCATACAGATTTTGCATATAATTTGTATATTCAGACCTGTGGATTTCAAGGGTGTTTTTTGGTAGTATTATAAGTGGTACTTTAAAAATTTTACCTTCTTAGTTTTCATTGCTAGTACATAGAAATAAGACTAATTTTTTATGTATTGATACCTTTAGCTTTTTGAAGGCCTTAAACAAAAATGAAAAGACAACGAAGCCAAAGCAAAATAAGCTTTTTCAATATTTTAAAAAGTATAAGTTACTATCTCTTTTCTGTCTTAGTCTATTTTAAAACTTAGACCACTATGACAGCTTTTATTTAATTGTTGTTGTCATCTCAAAATTTTCAAATGATATCCTAGTATAGACATGAAAACATATTTTGAGATGAGATATAACTGAGCAAACTTTAAATGCTCTTATTAAATACAGGCTATTTTCCATTATTGGTATCACAGCTTAAGAGTAATTACAGTCCGTTGATGAATAATTTTAAGGTTTAAATACATAATTTTGTTTCTTTTGCTTTTTTCTATTTTCTGAAGATCTTCAGATATATTTTTCTGTAACATTGTTATTATAGATTTTGGACTCAGCAAAGAATCAGTAGATCAAGAAAAGAAAGCCTACTCATTTTGTGGTACAGTGGAGTATATGGCTCCTGAAGTAGTAAATAGGAGAGGTCATTCCCAGAGTGCTGATTGGTGGTCATATGGCGTACTTATGGTAAGTAGTATTAATTTTTAAATTCTGCTAATATAAAATTAATACTTAGAATTTTAATTTATTATTTATCAATTTTTAATAAAAGGAAAAAATAGAATTTTAATTTAAAATTTTGGAGGTGTCAGGTGAGAATAGGGTTTGAATTTATGATTATCATTTAAAAATTGATGTTTGGCTAGCTGTTATACCATAAGAATTAGTATTTTGCTGTTCTGATTTTTTTTTTCAATTTAGTAATTTTATTTATTTACTTATTTATTTATTTTTATTA